CTTCCAGCGTTCTTTTCTATGTGTTAGCATGCGTGTTCCCCAACTGCTCTTGTTGCAGCATTTGCTACCCTCCATGCTTGTGCATTGTTTTTTCCTTCCTACATTTGTTTTTGCTCGATTGCGCATCCCCAACCAAAAGACATGCTTCTCGTTTTTCAGAGTAAACCATGTGCTTTCATGAATTGTTTTTCGCATCCCTCCCTGCCAAGTTCCTAGCGTGCTTGTGCATATACCAATAGAGTTGTTATATTTTAATGAGCCTAATATCACCTGCCCATCTTGATTACTGGAGAGTGTTTGTTCTTTAATATTGCATAATTGTACCTTGTCGCTAGACACACCCTTCTCCCTTAGGATTTGATGGTCGATTAAGTTGACTTGTCTCCTGCTATTTCTATTCTCTTTGCTTCTTATCTTCTGTCCACCTTCACCCTTAGACTTGTACATTGCATCTTATCTTCATTAACCAACCTCCTTCCTTGTGCATCTAGATGCCAGAATTGTTGGCATTCGATTTCTCCATGATCTAAAGCATAGTTAGCCAAATGATCAGCCAACTTGTTCCCCTCTCTATGAATATGAGTAACTGTGTAATTGCCCCAATCATTAGTTGCATAATTTCCTCTACCTGCTTGGATATGATCCATGGTGGTTTCCAAATCCCATCCATTATCTTTTTTAATAACATTGAGTCAGTTTGAAGCCATACATGAGAGTATTGTTGGAATCTGCAGAACCTTAGTGCTTCTAACATGGCCTTCGCTTCAGCTACTGTGTTTGTTGTCTCCTCAATCTCCCTCCCTACAGACTTGACTATGTCGCCATTTTCATTTCTTATACAAAAACCTATTGAACTCCTGCCTGGATTTCCCCTCGATACCCCATCCGTATTAACCTTTAGCCATCCTGTACTTGGTGGTTCCCACATGACTTTGGTAACTTTAAGTTTAGGAGTGAAATTTTCCATCATGGATAGAAGGTCTTTCCATTTGTGAGGTACCATGGATATCCTTGGCTTTCTCACTTTCACCAATGCCTGGAGATTTGATGACACTTGATAAATCACCCTACTAGTTGTCACAGCATCACCATACTTCATACTGTTTCTTCTTTTCCAGAGTTCCCATACTACGCATGAAGGGAGTGCTTGCATTACCGGTTTGAGCCTTAAGCATACATTTGCAGTCCAACATTTTGTGATTGCTTGGTGCAATGTAAGTCCTTCCACAGCTATTCCTGCCCTTGATAGAAAATACTTCCAAGTTGTCTTTGCAGTTTGTGATCTAAAAAACAAATGCTAAAAGGATTCCTCATCAGGATGTATACAACACCAGCATTTTGATGGCATGCAGTAGCCTACCTTTTTCAAGAAATCATCTAAAGGTAACTTTGTTTTCCACACTTTCCACATGAAAAATGCTATTTTAAAAGGCAGTCCCTTTACCCATATCATTCTATATGCTTTTAGTGGTTCTTCTCTTCTTCTCGTATAATCCCATGCTGACTTAACACTGAAATATCCTCTTGTTTCCAGCATCCAACAAGGCACGTCAAGAACCTGCTGAGGTGAAGGTGGTTTGATTTTCTCTTGAATGTGTACTGCTAAGTCTTCATGAAGCATTTCAAATAGCCTGTCCACATCCCACCCACCATCTAAGGTAACTTCATGTACATTTTGTACTGTTTCATCTATGCCAAAGTCCTGAGGAACTAAAAAATATAGTGCCCCAAGACCTGTCCAGTTTTCGAACCAAAAAAGTGAGGATCCCTTTTTTGTTTGCCAAAAGATTTGATGTTCAACAAGATCTATGCATTCTAGCATTTTTCTCCAAATATGAGACCCTCTTTTCCATGGAACAACTACTGAATTCATTTTCTTACAGTATTTCTGACATACAAAAGAGCTCCATATGCTTGGTTTTGTTCTGAAATTCTACCACAATTTGCTGAATAATGCTTTTGTTACATCATGTAGTGACCTGAAACCTATTCCTCCTTCCTCAAGTGGCATGCATAAGGTATTCCATGAAGCCCAATGCCTACTAGTACCTCCTACAGAGCTGCTCCAGAAAAATTGCGCAAACAGTTTGTGCAACCTATTTATCACATATTTGGGAGGGTTTACAGCTGATAGTAGATGCATAGGCATGCTTTGCAGCACATGGGATATGAGAACTACCCTTCCTCCTACTGATAATAATTTGCCCTGTCAGGATTGCATTTTGTCCATTACCTTAGTAATTAGGGGCTGATAGTATTCCAGCTTTCTCCTTGCATAAAAAATAGGGCAACCTAGGTATGTGATAGGAAATTCATTTTTATGAATGCCTGTGATCCTTTCCACCTTGCTGACCACATCCATGTGTGTTGAATGATGCAGGTATACTGCTGATTTGGTCTTGTTGATAAGCTGCCCAGATGCATTTTCATATGGATTCAACACTTGCATAATCAGCATCAGAGAAGTTTCATCAGATGATGAAAAAATAATCATGTCATCTGCATACGCCAAATGATTGATTTTTGGACTCCACTTTGGCATTCCAAATCCACAAAAATACAGGTTAGTATGAAGTGCATTGAGGCCCTTAGATAATGCTTCTGCTGCCAAGATAAACAGAGTTGGAGATACAGGATCACCTTGTTTTACTCCTCTTGAGGATTTAAAGAAACCATGAGCTTGACCATTGATTAGAATAGAATACCAATTGTTTGAAACTAATCCAAAGGCAATCCCTATCAACCTTTCTGTGAATCCCATCTTTCT